AATTCCCAATTAAAATGTTGATTTGTGGTTGGGTTGTGTGGGTTGTGTGGGTTGTGGGCTTTTAAAATGAAAAATGAGTTTAATTTATGGGTTATCTAGTCAAAACTCACTAACCCAATATAAGAAGCCCAAAAGGAAATAGCCTAAAAGTTCAGCTACCAAACAGAAGGTAAAATCGAGATTTTACCTGATTTCACGGTAAAATCTAGATTTTACCATGAAATCCCCAGATTTTACGAATTTCAGATTTTAGTATAGATTTTATACAAAATGTCTTGCTGAAATCGTAAAATCGTAAGATTTTAAGATTTAAATCTAGATTTTAACAACAATGGATATGTCAATTGTTTTTTAATGAAAAGATTGATTTCAAGCTAAATTTAGAAACTTTAGAGATCAAATTAAAGATTTTTTTGGTTTAAAGACCAACTTGAAGGGTTTGTACATTAGTTGAGAGACCAAATTGGTGTTTAACCTACTTAGTTTTAGCCTGTTGACACTTTCATGTGCAGATTGCAAGCTTTACTTCACTTATCTATGTTCTCTTGTTAAAAGTGCTGCCTAAAGGTGTGTTGAGTGAACTAATTGAAATCCAAAGAAATTTCCTTTGGGGGCCGGTGAGAGTCAAAATAATAAAATAGCATTTGGGAAAGAGTTTATCTCGACAAGTTTAAAGATGGTCTAGGAGTCTGGAATTTGTCCATTAGGAATGCAGCCCTTCAGGGAACAAGGTAAAACAAATTTTACAGTGAGAATGAAAAGGGATGCTTTGCAAAATTATCTTAGGAAAACACTATGGTGGGATTCAAAACTAGAGCACTGAAAATATTTGTTCCTCGTTGGGTCTCTCTAGCTATTGTATTTTCAGCAGGGGTATTGAATCCCAGCCATGGCATTTTCCTTGCCGATGAAAGATAATCTTATCAGCAGGGATATTGGTCTTACCCAAATTCCATTTTGTGCTATATGTCCAGAAGAAACAGAACAATTGAATCATGTTACGGCACCCTGTGTCACCTCTGGATGCACCTTTGTCTTTGGTGGGCTTCTCCTTTGTGTGCCTAGATTCTGCATCGAGCCTCGTCCATCAACTTGCTTTTGGTTTGGCTTCTAATAAGGCTTGGGAAGCATGGTGCCTCACGGTGGCAGTAACAGCTTGGACAATTTGACTTTCTCAGAATCGTATCATTTTCAACAATGCCCTTTGGGATGAAGACATGATACTGAGTATATTCAACCTAAGACAAGGGTGAGTTTGGATTGGGGTTTGGCAGGGAAAGGTCTTTCCTCCCTGTTTGGATTTCTCATATAAAAAACAGAGTGAGAACCCCTCCACAC